GTTAGCTCGTCGGAAAAAAAGAGACTGCTTCTGAGGAGTCGAAGGATTGCTCATCCTGGATTCGGTGTATTTCATGTGGCAAAATAAAAGAGTGAACACTGAGTCACCACGATAACTATACGGAATATACAACAAAACCTCAAAAAATATCGGAAACAATTCGCAGACTGCAGTCATAACAGGATCATCGTCCACAACACTGACTAATTGTACACTCAAAGGTCGTCGCGGACTGAATATTGAAAAAAGCGCAAATTTTTCTTAAAATTCAAGCGTGATCTAAGCTACGTAAAGCTTTGAGGGTTTCATAAGCAGTACAATATCGCAGTTGCTTCTCGTTTTCTTGGTTTTGCTTCTCGTTTAAAAAATAGGGGTTTTGTAGTTCGTTCTTCCTCGTCTTCTTTAGCGATTGTCCCGCTTGTTGGCGGGGTCCGCTTTTCTGATGTGCTGACAGAGACGCCACTTTTCCCGATTAAATGCTTGGTCGGGGTGGATGTTAACCAACTTCAAGTCTGCGTGCAACGTATCGAGCCAGCGCTGTTTCGGGCGCCCCTTAGGCCGCTTTCCGTGCACGTCAATGTTGAGGCCGATCTTACGAACACTGTCATCATTTCCGCGAAGAACATGGCCATACCATCGAAGACGGGCTTCGCGCATTTTATCAGCAATGGGAGCTACACCAAAGCGTTCCCGTATGACATCATTACGAATGCGATCTAATCGCGTGACACCAGCCGTCCAGCGCAGCATCTTCGTCTCCATTACACCGAGGCGAGCTTCAGTATCCCTGGTCGCTGGCCAGCACTCAGCGCCGTACAATGCCACTGGTCTTATGACTGTCCTATAGATCTTCGATTTTAGGCGTTCTGGGATTTTCTTGTCACAGAGAACTCCCGTCATAGAACGCCACTTGGACCAAGCCGCACTCACACGCGAGTTCACCTCAGTACTCATACTGCCATCAGACGCAATTGCTGATCCAAGGTACTTGAATGTCGTTGCACGTGTCAGCTCTATTCCATTTATTTTGATAGAACCGCACTCGCTCGTGTCGGTTGTCAGGTACTCAGTCTTTTTGATGATCAACCTAAATCCGAAGATCACAACCAAATACATTTTCTTTTCGCAATAGAGCATCACGTCATCGGCGTAGAGAGGCGTCCCGTTGGAGCCTCTCTACGCCAATGCCGTTCCTGAAGAGCTCGTGAGATGGCATCCATGACGACAACAAAAGGAAGTGGGGAAAGCGCAGAGCCCTGATGCACCCCAACAGAGATGGGGAATTCCAGTGTCGAAACGCCAGCTGACGTTTGCACTCGGCTCTTTGGGCTCGAGTAAAGCATGCGAACCCACTCGATAAGCTCTTCGGGGACGCCATGTTGTCGTAAGGCGTACCATATTACTTCACGTGGAACGCGATCAAAAGCCTTTTCCAAGTCTAGAAAGGCAAAATGCACCGGCCTTTTGTTTTTCACGGTGTTTTTCTAGCAGAAGACGATTGGCGTGTATGGTGCCGCAGCCAGCCACGAAGCCGCGTTGGTTTACAAACTGTTTTGTAGTTTCCTATAGTGCGTATCATTTACGATCTTGATTGGTTATTCATCCTGCCATCGAATGTAGCTAACAGCAAAACAGTTTGTTTATGTACCCATGATTGAAGCTGTAGTATCTGCTATATCACAGGTTGCTATTGAAGATTCCACCAAATGACACCAAATCACGCTGTCTCTAACGCTAAACGCGTTATTGAAGCACTAGATAACCATTACAGACGAAAAACTTGCGAAAACGTCGTATTGAATCCTAAAGTGTGGTGGTTATAGGAAACTGCCACAACGCCTGGAGACATGGATATTGGTTCGCGAATTGGTTCTTGCTGTACGCCTAGCCAGTGATTGATATGGGAAGCGAAACCGTTGCGGCGAAGCACATTTTAACGCACGTCAATTTAACGTCGAAACCGCTCCAGCCATCGTGAAGAAGTTCGGCAAGTAGAACAGATTGGTTTTCCATCCCTTGAAACAAAAAGATTCTGGCAAAATCGCTACCATGATCTCTTCTCGGCAAACACCATTTTGATTGATTTCCAATCTCCACTCTAAAGTATGTTTTGAGACCTAGTCCAAAATGTACACCGCCTAAGCGGGTGGCTACAAATTCCCCCTGAATTTCTACATCGAATCAGACTTTCAACTTTGCAGAAGTCCCACTACAAATGTATAGTCCATATCTAGAAGTTTAATTAGACGTGTCTATGGATTTGACGTGGCCGTCGCCACACTTGATAGGAGTCGTAGGGATGAACTATTTCTACCATACTCCTTTGAGTATCAGCAAAGCATGATGACATGCACGCCGCCACATCAAATCCATAGACCCTAGAGTCCTAATCGACTAATTAGACTTCGCTATATAAATTACTAATCCAATACTATGACCACGAATATGACATTAGTTTTTAACGTCGAGGACACTGATCGTCGCTATTACGCCACTCAGCGCCACCTTCACACTAAGACTTCGCACCTAACCTGCTTTTGGAAATTCGCCCACCCTAAAAACGTTTTCCTTTTACGCTCAGGTCGTACAGTAACTACAACTAATCCATTTTGAGCAATGAACATCAGACATCATTAATGTGGAAGAAGGAGCGACTCAAATAGACCGGAAAACACATATGACACATCACACTGCCGGCTCGTACACAATGAGGATAGTTGTTTAATCGCTTCATATTGTTCACACATTCTGTGAAGAAATTTGACACAATAATGCATGATGAAAGCATGAAGAATCAAGCCAGGGGTTACCATTAAAAATTTCAGAAAGCCTATGGTTTCCCTCCATCTATTATATACTTGACTCACAATCAAATTTTACTATTGATGTGTTGTTTCTTCTGTGCCATACAGGTTGTTATGATGGAACACGTTTATCGGTCAACGTTTCGACAATTCGTCGTCTTCAGTACGTGTGATGAAATCCGAACTAAATCTCAGCAGCCTCCTCTTGTTTGTGTGAAATAAAGAAATAAAATAATCCAAAAATTTTATTTGCTCACAAACAAGGGGTGGCTGCTAAGACTGGTGGATTCACCAGAGGTCCTGAAGACGACGAATTGTCGAAACGTTGACCAATAAACGTGTTCCACCATAACAACCTGTATGGCACAGAAGAAACAACACAATATTCGAAATGCCCTAGGTTCCGGAAAACCGAACATGGAATTTATGCACGACTAGTATTAGAAAAACTGCCATTGGTAACCACACAGAAATGAAAAATATCAAACAGTTCCGAATACGCTTGCTATACCGAAATCCTGTGAAGCCGAGAATTTATCTATTCCACATTCTACTGTAAACCTTGAAGTATAAGTCTTTTTCATTGTGCTGTCGTTTTCCGAGCAACCTCAGTTCCGTCACTCGTGTCTGTTGAGATTTCTTGATGACTAACCACAGCAGAATCGGAGATACCACTGTGAAATAGGGAACTGTCTGAATGATTGTCCTTCATTAGATCACAATTCCTTTTTACTGCCAATTCCAAACTGTTTCCAAAACAATACTTACGTATGCTGCAGCAAATATAGTTCTGTATGCAACAAATGAAAAGTGTGCCCGGAATATCAAAAACACTCCTGCAGTTGCTGACATCGATGCTTGGCAGAATCCGTTGAAAGCTACTAGAGGTAGAATAAGTCGTAGAACGCTAGCATTTTCACGCAACTGATATGACGATTGCAGATCAGAGAAGTTTCTGAAACTAGAAGCTTGATTTCCCTAAATATTAAAAATACTAGCGAATCGCAATCTTGAGCTGTTCCCCATTCTCACTAGTGGGGAATACTTCCTGAAAATAGGACACTTTTGCGACAATAATTTCAAAAAAAATTGTCCAAACTAAACCAGCCCAGACAGACCACAAACAAGCACACATTTTATGTAGAAGTTCTGTTCTGCGTCATCCTTCAGTTAGATGTGCGTTGCTTATGCGTTTTTGAAGGTGGTCTCATAGTGGTGGACAAGTTCCAGTAGAAAAGTACCATTTGAATGGTGTAACTTCTGAGCTTTCCTTTCGATAAAAAAATGCGAAATTTGTTCTCGAGCAAGGCGCCGATAACGACAGATGGTAACAGAGAAATATTTGAAACGCTCACAATCAGCAGTGTAGGTTGACTAAAAGATTATTTGGCTAAGCCCGTAGCTCACTCCACCTTCGTTATTTTCCCCTTCGAAAATTCAACTTCGTTCAAAAACGAAATTCAACGAAGTTGACCCTGATGGGGAACAAAGGTATCAAATGATTGGCATCACCTATAGAGCACGTTAGTCTTTCCTACTACATCAGAACAAAAAAAAGCGAAAAGGCTTGCTGAACATTTTAGTGGAAGATCCTTCCCTCTGGTTATGATTACAGCGAGCTGATGAGTTGCCTCAGGCAATTTGGACAAGAAATTTTTTATGAAATTCTAAATTGCACCCTATAGAGCTAGACGAGCTGAGCCTAAGGGTATAGTTCCCTGTTCAGAAAAGGGAGACAGAAATAAAGTTAACACAGAAAGACGAAAAAGACGGATCCGCGTCCTCCGTAGGAGGTGGTGTGCTGCACTATACAAAAATGTAGCGGTTCTCAAATCCGTTGGTCTGCAGTGATGCGACTGCACTATGTTATACGGTAGCGTACACGTTCCACAAGCAGTGCCCATATAGCGATTCGTAGTTGTGCGAATTACAACTATCAAGCTCCAACGGAATGAAGTGAGATTCATACAGTGAACAATCATGGTCGAGTATCCCTCACATGAGCAGCAGAACCAATACAAAAACTTTCGCTCAAAAAGCTTCAAGAATAGACTTTTTCATACTACCGACAAACATAGGCTTTTGTGGAACATATTTCGTAGATATTTCATGGAACTAGAAACCCACCTTTTCATGGCAGCGACGTTGTAGACACACAACAGTGCTATCCCAATCAATGAAATCGTATTAATACCACACAAAATAAAGCACAATGTTGTGATTCCTTCAGCTGTTTCATTAGTGCTTGAAGAGCAATACACTGCGAGAGCTGTGGAATCCAATTTCCTCATAGACCATGCGGTGAGAATTAGTGAAGAAAGGATCTAAAGGATGTAGTCGACAGGTAACCCTTGCCAGTCCGAGTACTAGTAACAAGATAAAGCCAAACAACTGGTTGGACTTCCACTGCAGTTTTCGTCTCACTGTGACACACGTTTTAGGCTTCACAATGCGCTGCCTGCATGAGATCCTCTAACACTGTCAGTACATACATACATAACCGTATATCACTCACGCACACGCGGTCTAGCTACCCTTTCTATCTTTCCTAAATTTTCAGTATATCGAATTCTTGACTACTTTTAAGGTATGTACGTATGATTTGTTTTTTTTATTTCACACATGTGTAAAAATTCAACACTCAGCCTGAACTTAGCAGACTCTTCCTCTTCTTCATGGGGTTGATCCCCGAAAACAGACTTTTCTACATTTCTTCTTCTCAACTTTTCGTTTGAGGCCATTTTTGTGTTAACTAGGAACCGATTCTCTTAGCAAGCTTCTTACACCATTCGAAAGAAGCAAGATGCTCTGGGCTTGCTTCTTTTGCCAGCACCTACACTCCGTATCTCGATGTCGGATTAGGTGGGTCTACGGATTTTACGTGGCGCCCTCCGCACTTGACTGGTGTTGCCCGGATAAGCTTCTTCCAGAACGCTTTGCTGATATCCAGCGGAATATGTTAGAAACGGCTCATCCATACGGCTCCTATCAAGTGCGGTGACGGCCTCGTCAAATCCATAAACACGCCTAATCTGACTCCGAGATATGGACTTTATATACATCTTTCCCGCTTTAGGTTGCACTGAATTTCCTCGTTTTAAAACCGTCTACTTAATTCCCACTGAATCCATCTTGTTACTCGTCCGGTAGCTCCATGGCAGATGTTGGGATGATCTCAGCCGCGTTTCAGCCCTCTGGCCCCTTGTACTGCTCCGTGTGGATCTTAAAGGCATGCCTCAGGATCAGCCCAACTGGTAGGAAATACATTGAGAAGGCCTTCAAGACAAATTCTATGTCCGTGAGGTTCGCCTGCTCCAGCAGCGAGGATGATGTGTTTACTTCAACGTTTAACCACGCCAGAGAAAAATCGCGACAAGCTGTAATGCAGCTTTGCTAGCATCAATCATGATGGGAGCGGTACTCGCTGATTATCTTGCCTGAGTGCTTTTCCATGTGGAGATGCTTGCAAGATGTGCTCCAAACCAAACGAAGCTATCTATTGTTTCACAATTAAGCTGGGGTCCCAAGTGCTTGATCAATTCAATCTATCATGAAATTGTTTCCTCAAACTGTCTCGTGACTATTAGAAGCGTTTTAGAGGCTCTCACACAAGTTGCAGAAGCTGCGAAGCCGAGCCCACTTTTATACTGCTCATACTCTTTACGTTTCCATAACGCTACAGCACGTTCCGCAACCATAGCTATCTGAAAACAAATACTTCTCTGTTTTCAGGATTTCGTGAATTTTGAAAAAGTTGAATGAATAAACCGGATTAAACCAGCCTCTGACCCTCAGCTATGATCACTGACAAAACACAGCATAAAATTTCTGATAAGATATAATTTTACGTTTTAAGCTGTAATGTCCAATCTTTGCAGAAATTTATCAAATTTCTATAGAGGCGCACAGTGATAGTGGAAAATTTGAAATTAAAACTCAAAATGAGACTACAGTCAAAAATCGAAAACAAGTTGAAACCAGTTGCTGAAGTTCTCAGCATTGCGGTTCACAGCTGATGTCGGATAATCTTTTTGACACTTCACTTTTGAACGCTGCTCTGCTTTTGTATTATCATTATACACTGCGTTTCATAATTATAGGTCCACCCTAAATTTTTGCTACCCCAAAGTTGCTGTGCATTTTTGGAAAATGCTGTTAGATTCCTCATCACGGAAAACCTTCATAGTGTTTTTCTGACAAAGTTCCCCCCTCAAGTAACCCAATTAACTTTTTCAGAACGAATTTTCACCGTTTCATGAATATCGGGCCACTCATAAAAAGTTTCCATTTCTCACGATCCGTGAAGGGAATCAGGGAAGCGGGGATATATGTGAGCTCAGTCGACATCGAGTTTACCATACCTCGTGTTATTCGCCTCTCTTCCCAGTAACAAGCTCAAGCCAGAGCACTTACTGAAGTGGGATGGCTGAGGAGCAGAACTCCTCCCATGTCGGCCGGCTCATACTGCATAAGCAACTATGTGCGAAATCCTGGTCAGTGCGGAAAGAAGAGTAGTCGTGGTAGGTGAAGGCTACTTTTATTCAAGATTTAAGAGGAATTGGGCGTCTTCTGTCGAATTATACAAGGAGTCCGAACAAGGTCCGTGCTGAAATGCGGCCTTCCTTGAGCAAAACCTTCGTGTAGTGGATAAGCCAGCAGTGCAAGAACATCTTCAGGGGATTGATGAAAGCGTTCTAAGATTATCGGAGCGCTACAAGATCGCACGTCTACATTTCGTCGTGGAAAACGCCTCAACTAATTGAGCGAAGGTATGGCTGATAAGACCCTTCGCGATCTTAGACTCTACCTCCTTGTTTCGTGCTACAGGTGATCTGGGATCGACGTGAAAAAGTTTATTCTAGGTGGATCTGATAGAAAAAGAGGGTACAGGAGGATCCCGTGAAAATCGCAGATGGTTTCAAAGTAACGTAATTTCGGCGGAGAATCCCTTATGGTTTGAGGCACCTTTGAACGACTGAGCGGCTAGAGCTCATATGTTTCCTTTCATAAGGATTCCATAGGGTATCGAAGTTCTTTTGGAGCGAATTTACCATTTTTCGACAACAACCCCCTCGATCCTTGACTTTACGCACGATAACGCGACTATCCATGCCGGTCCTTACACGCCAGAAGGATGTGGAAGAAGAAATGTGGCAGATCTCTAATGGCCCGCATGTTCTCTGAATCAGGTTTCAATGGACAATCATTGTGCCTCATTGTTAAAAAGTTCTACAGCGTAGAAAATCAAAATGGAACAGTGGAAGAGCTGAAAACGTCGATTATCGGCCCACAGACAAATTTCGATCCTAATGTAATAGCTAATTTGGTTACCAGCATTCAAAACGTATTATTGTGTTCCTTATGATTAATGGAGGACCATCCCATTATTGAAAATTTGTGACGTTTTTTTGTTATAAGTAAAATCTCTCGACAAGTGATGTGTAGTCATATTTGCGAAACGGTGAAAATACGTTCTAAGGAAGATATTTTAATAATTCTGAATCGAGATTTCTCCAGAAATCAAGTATCAAGGTTTTTCGTTATGGGGAAACTATTGGTAATAGCGGCATTTTCCAAAAATGCACAGCAACTTTGGAATAGCAAAAATTTAGGGTGGACCTATAATTATGAAACGCAGTGTATTATGAGTTTCCGAGCGTAGCGCTGCGAGCTTGAACGTGCACATTGTTCTAAAACATTTTTTCACTGCGTATGATTTTTCTTCCCTACCTCAAAAAGGCAGAGAAACTTGCGCCAGCTCACAGTGCATCATATGGTGAAAATAAAGAGGGTTGTAGTATGTCAAAAACAGATATGCGGCAAGGGTGTGCTGCGACAAGTCTGTAAGGAATGTTCGTACGGTCCTCTTCTACATTCTTTTATGCGACATAACTGACCAGTTTTGCACTCGTTCTGCTTGTTTGCAAAGGGCAGCACAGTGGATTTCTTGCGAGAACAGTCAAGGCTTAGCTGAGGGGTTCCACGATGTCATCATCACAAGAATTCGTAAAGCTGCAACTGTACAGGGGGTCACAAACTGTAGTGAATGACGGCCTACTTCTAAATAGGGTCAACCGTACGTTATGCAACGATAATGAGGGGGAACATACTTAGCCAATGAAAGTGAGGAGGGTCGTGAACCAAAAAACCAGTCACTAAAATTGGAAATTCCTAGGGCACAAGGCGGCAAAGGAGGGCGTACATCCATATACCACTGCCACTACCAACCACAAAAAAGCACATTGCGCACTCCTGACCATCACTAATTTACGTCATGATTCAGTGAGAACAACAGATATTCCTTCAGAAAAATTCAGATGCTTTAAACAGATCATAGTGGATAAAAGTGCAGCGATTCGGCGGATCGAGTTCTCAAGTCTCCCTAGACATTCATTTCAGTGGAAAAATTTTAATTTTAAAGATTTCAGCTGGTTTAAATACTTTTGTGAAGAACTTGTAGTGCAAATTTCAGTGATCTTTACTACATCTCACTGCACCAGCTGAAAAACGTGTGGGCATACAAATGTTGAATGTCGCCTTTGAAGAAAATGACCAAAACTAATAGAGGAAAAAAAGGGAACGGGACTACTTCTCAAAAAAAGATCTTTCAGTAAGTTCAAGACATGTTACAAAGTTTTTACCCTTCATTGCTAGCTTTTATTTAGTCTTAGAAATTCATAAAAAGGTGATTATTAAGCTATGAGCGTGTGGACGATGAGAACTCGCGCCTATCAAAAATTGGACTACAAAACACTGATAAAGAAAAACCAAGCTTATTTCCCGAGAGAGTGATTTTCAACAAAGTTTCAATAGTTCATTTTTGGATCTATCTTCTTCTCTCCGATCTTCTAGTTTCCACTACAATTAACCTATGAGGCTGCAAAAAAAGTGAGCCCATATATACACCGACGGAGACTTTTTAAAATTTTCATTTGCGATAATTCAAGGAAGCTCAGAAGTGATCACTAGTAACTCCGTAGAGAACTAGCAGAGCTCCTAGCTCAGTCATGAAGCGTGAGCACCCCCATTTCTTTATTTCAGTTGGCTTTCGCTGGTGAGTAAGTAAAATATCAAGCCCCAAATGCTACTCAAGACATCATTTTGGGGAGAGCCCTCGTCACGTTAACTACTCATAACGACTGGACTCCTAGCAACGCGATATGATGTTAACGTAGATTGAATTTTATGAAAGTCTGATGCAGAGCCCATTTGTCCCACTTTGGGCTGCACGAAGGCCACCCTGAACCTCCGATTTGAATTTAACGGGTTATTATTGTGGTCGATGTTGAAGCTAGGAGAAGTGTGCAACACAACACAGTTAGATTTGATCGCTAAGAGCTGTTCTTTAAAAAGTATGGAATAAAGTTTTGAAGGATGTAATGTGTGCAATGACCACATATTGTACTCAAACAAGCTCCCAGGTAGCCATTTCGAATAAGAAATGATGAGAATTGCTTGAAAGGATGTAGTCTAACGTTGCTGCACTTGGAATCCTCTGTTCGACTTTTCTGGTTCGAACTGGGCCACAATTAATTTGTCACCATCTACATGCCCCACCCTGTACTTCCATGTGTATTCCACGCACGGACCAGGGTCTGATCCCGGGCCCGCGCGCTTGGTAAGCAGTTCCAATTGACTACACGACTCTCACCCTAGGGAAACAGGTTAGGCGAGAAAAACAGTACATATACAACCATCCCGATGAACTCTTTTGATTGCTAGTAATTGCATCTACGTAGAATAAAAAGTCATCGTGATAAATCACTTGTTTTGCTCCAGCTGAGCAAGTTTTTGAAGTAATTCAATAAACGGGGGAATACAAAGCTGACTTCTCCAATCATTAATTCCTTCCTGTCCTATTCCACGCCTCAGAAACTTGTGCTCCGTGCAGGGAGAACAGTGCAAAGGGGATAGAGCGTTGAAGTCTATCACAGAAGCGCATAAAGTCCGATTGATTGAATTCCTTGGCAGAACGAAAGTGTTTACCGATCGAAAATAAGGAAATCTGTCGTTTTGCCGAGCAATGTGAAATTAGTAGACCGGATACGCCATGCGATTTTGTGAGGAATGCCGTACCATACGGGCAATGTTCTCCGCCGACATAGTGAAAGGCTTCGTGTATCTCTTGGTGGGATGACTCATTGAATGAAAAACTTCTCATAATTTTTTAAAGTTGATCAAGAATTTCATACATTTCTTTTCTCTTACATGAGTCACTTGCTTATAGATGGCAATCTCACATGAAGCTCTTTTCTAATCGAGTAATACTTTTCACAGTTGACCCTGTAAACGGAAGCGTATATGGTGTACGCGGAAGTGGTGTAGTGGCAAGTGGCACGCTTACCACGCGAGCGGTCCGGGGATCAAATCCTGGGTCGTGAGTCGCCCGGGCCAACCAAGCCTTCCATCCCTCCGGGGTCGGTTAATTGGTACCAGACTTGTCTGGGAGGATAAAAAACACTGACTTGTACATCGGCTGGCCCGCAAGGTCATGTTAGGGGGGAGGCCACAGCCCATTCAACGCAATAGAATGTTAGTAATTGAAAGTAGAATGCGTGCCGCATCCCAAACCCGATTTATTAACGGCAAATGCTTTTTAAAGTAGCTGTATGCTGCTTCAACTATATTCTGGGTATTTCACAGTAATGTTCAACTATCGAGGCGTGGACGCTTTCCATTACCTGTAACATCGTGAAGG